TTGGATTTAGAGTTTGCAGGCTGTTTGGTTCAGATTCGAGTGGGACCAAGGGACCTCGAAACTCACCCAGGGTGCATTTGGACGTCACCGGCCCGGACGGCACTGCTCCCACTGCCTGCGACGGTATAAGTGACCAGCAGCACAGCAGTAGATGCAGGTTGCTGGACTTGTTGGATCTGCTGGATTTGTTGCAATCCTCCTTCCGCTGTGTGCCCTCCAACAACGCTCAGTGCATAAGCGAATCTGCAGGCAGACAGGTCACTTCATCAGCCGGTTTAAGGAGAGTCATTTGGCGAAAGGGACTCTCAGGTCGCAATCCCTCGGGCCGCACGTCGTCAGTCAGCATAGCACTGCCACTGTAGTCTCTCAAAGTCTGTCACAAGTCATCGGTTCTTTTCTGTCAGTCCACCCAACCCGGTAAGTCAATTCCAACTCACCACCGTGAACCCGTCTGCTTGCAGAATTGGAGACCTACGCCCCCCTTTGTCTAACCCCGCCACTAATCCTAATCCCCACCTACAGCATGCCTCAGCCGCCTCTCCGTCTCCATTCTCTTCCTTCCGGTCACTACCCTCCATCAACACACCACATTTCGATCCATTCCTCCTGTCATTTTTTCCCTTTAACCTCACAGTCCAGTCACAAGAACCCATCCCCGACGGGCAGTTAGCCACAATCTTCTCCTCCCTCATCACGCCGCTAAGATCTTCCATAACTTGAGTTTTGGCACTCGGAACCCGAATTCGCTTTCACCTCAAGAGCAGGCCACGACAAGCGTCGAGTTGGCTAACTTCCAGGAGCAGCATGCGCACAATCTGTACATCCCCTTCTACTGTTTCTCATTTTGCTTGACTTTTGCAAATGACTCCGCAGCATAGCAGAGAACCTCCCTTCACTTGGAAGGCTATCAGGTTTCATATCTCCTCTCGCCTTCTTCTTCAAAGGCTTCTTCAAGCAGCTCGTTAAGGGAGACACCTCCCACCTCCTTCATCAACTCATTCAATCTGGACCAGGACCCTGGTTCAGTTTGCTCACAGATCAAGCGTGCGGGAATCAAACCAAGTACCAATCAGCACCGCATTTTCCGAGAGAAGCCTCCTATCCGTCGCAGCCCGCACTTCCACGCCTCATTTTGAAGCTCCAAGACGCAACGGATATTTTTTTTACTCAAATATAATGTAGTCGGAGTTTACATCTCACAGAAAACCACATTATGCGATGGGCGTATACACTCGCCCATTACAACCCTTCTACTCCTGCTCAAGCTGTAGCGGGTTCGACATCCCCCGCGAATATATACTGTTCTCTCCATATCCTAAGAAGTAAATCGTGTTCGTCATGGCCTCTACGCCGCACATAAGAATTAATAGACTCAAATAATAAATATAAATGAAAATACCAAATACATTCAGCAAACCACAGACCAGTCGATGCCACCATGCCGTCATCAACTTCATCGCGTAGCAATTACCCCTTTCTGAAGGATACGAGTTCGTTGGAGGCGTGGTATCGAATCGCTATGGTGCCCACCTGGTGATGCCTGCACCCAGCTGCGTGATCTTCCTCGTCGTTTTCCTTGGTCGCACAGCCAGTCCGTGCCCAGATACGATGTAGCTGGACCAGTTCGACAGGGGTTCCTCAAGGTCCCCCGCTGTCCTTCGGTGTCGTGGCACTTTCTCATACTCCCCCCTTTTTATGAGGTCATACAAATTTTTGAAAAAAAAATCAAAATGTTTCTTAACTGGCACGGCCATCTGAGGCCAAAGGTCCGATATCGAATCGCTACGGTGCCCACCTGGTGTACCTGCACCCAGCTGTGGGATCTTCCTTGTCTTTTCTACTGCCAGCTTTTGCCCAGATTCGATGTTCTGAGTGCAGCAGACCCAGTTCTCAGGCCCTCAGAGCCCCGTTGCCCTTCGGTGTCGTGGTTCTTCCTTATTTCCTAGACATACAGACTTTCGAAAAGTACGGCCATCTGAGGCCAAACCCTCCCACCCTCCCTATCTGCAACCCACTTTACTGCTTTCACAAACAAGATACCTGGGTATCCAAGAAGTGTTAATTCCCTGTGAAACGTCATCAGAAGGACGAATAACAGGGAATCCGAAGTAGTATTAGATTTTATTCTATATATCGTTCCAATTATTGCAGCAATTTTTTGCTCGGTTGATCCGAAAGAAAGAAATTGTTTTGTTGTTTTAAATTCAGTTCTTCCATCTCCTAGATTCTTTCGCCATTTTTGAATTTGTGTATGGACAGAATCGTTGCTGGATTTTTTGTGACGATTATTTTCGACTCAAGGAATTCTGCAATGTTAATGTCTCCATTAGTTCTTTCTAGGATCAGATCTTTACGGTAACAGTCCTCAATTCCCTTTATCAAATTTTCAGCTTCTTCCTTTTTCTTTGGGTTGCCATTCTCCCACCATGTCATAATCAGGAGTTCGTCCACAAATCTTTGTCTGAACATCAATTGCTTCTGTGATCCCAGAGTTCTTAAGAAACTGTGTTTTCTCTTCATGCATACTAAGCAAGCAAGCGATGGACTGACATATCCGCCCATCGAAATGTTTTTTTTCTGTTGTAAGATATCTCCCAATGATTTAAAAAAACAATTATCAAGTAGAAATTCAACCAGGGTCTGTAGATCTTTAAGTCGAACTGACTTCCAGCCCCGTTCCCCAGTCGATTTCCCCATTCTCGCACCTTTGCCTCAGATTTGTACTTGAGCCCAGTAATGTCGCTTCGTCCTTTGCTCAGAGAAGAACCACTCAACGGCATCCTTCACTGCATCATGCGGACTCATCGTGAACATTTCTTTCATATCGTATGTTCGTAGTTCAACCTCGGCCTCATGCCCCATCTTGTCCATTCTTTTATGCACTTTGTTGATACCCTGTTTTAGCTTATTTGTAGCTTCCATATTGAAATGCTCCATTTTTGTTGTTCTTACCAAAAGATTCAACACTTTGGTGAGTATCCAGGATGCTGATCTTGCTGGGCTATGATATGCAGGGCATATGGGCCTCTTCTTTTCTAAATCTTTCTCTTTGCTCATGATAAATGCGTGTTGTATGCATCCATCGTTATTCCATCTCTTTCACATCGTATGTTCGCAGTTCAACCTCGGCCTCATGCCCCATCTTGTCCATTCTTTTATGCACTTTGTTGATACCCTGTTTTAGCTTATTTGTAACTTCCATATTGAAATGCTCCATTTTTGTTGTTCTTACCAAAAGATTCAACACTTTGGTGAGTATCCTGGATGCTGATCTTGTTCGGCTCTGATATGCAGGGCATATGGGCCTCTTCTTTTCTAAATCTTTCTCTTTGCTCATGATAAATGCGTATTGTATGCATCCATCGTTATTCCATCCTGCGACTCGATCCAGTTTCTTCGTTCTATATATCCTCCTCATCTCACTCAGGATCGTGTATTTTTATTTTTCATTCTTCGAGTACCTTGGACTGTCATTGAACATCATTCTTATTCCCGAACTTTACAATACTGGGCATTCAATCAGTGTTTCCCCAGGATTTCTATCCACTGGTGATAGAACCAGTCCATCTAAAGCCCCCCCAATCCCTTTCACGTACTCTGTCAGTATGTAGTTTGCAGACTCTGCACTTACAATTTGCCCGGATCTGTGTATTTTTGCGGAATTCAGCCTCGCCCTGTTTTTAGAGTACCCTGCCCTCTGAAGTGGCTCGACCGCCTGTTCACAGGCTGTGACAAGCTCTTTCAGGTCGCAGATTCTGCCCGGATGCAGGATATTCCTAGAGTTATAGCGAAAGGGGTTTACCTCAGATACTTCACTCAGTTTGACCTGAACATGCCCATTGCATTTGGGCAAGTCAAAATCCCTACAAGTGCATCCGCATTCGGTTCTCGCGAAACGCTTGTGGTTATGCAGCAAGTCTGCTACAGATCTGGCTTTTGTCCAGACCACCCTCAGTTTGTTCTGCAACAGGTCCACAAAGTTGGCATCCAGTATCTCTTTCTCCAACCACTCACAAAGTTATTTCCTTACCTCTCTCTTATCCACAGTAGTACAGAAGGGGAGTCTCACTCTCAATCTAATCTTTAGATTTATTCCCAATCTTTGTTTCAATTCCCTGGAGATAATCCCTCGAGCGATTTGCCTTCCTTTCTTTGTGTTAATGCCTTTCAACCTTTTCAGTAACCCAAACAGCTCATCATTCTCTTTATACCGCAGTTCCTTCATTTTCCATGGTGCTCATAGAAGCGATAGGACCACCGACTTCTTCCGGTCGGCGTTTTCTTTACTAAACAGTCGATTGTTCAATTTCCTCCTTGCTCGATGATCTGCTTTGCATCTTTAAGCAGAAACTTCTCCTCCCCGACAATAATTTTACTCTCCCCATACACCAATGAGATCACACGCCACCGATTCCCCCATTTGTTGCCCTCATTATTCGTTATGTGCAGTGACCTTTTATTCTTTTTTGCTAGCTTAAAGATTTTCATCAGGTCCATCATTGGAACTATGTCAAGTTCTTTCATAGTAAAAATGAAGGGAATATCCACTTGAGCACTCAACCAATTCGGAGAGGGTTGTTTGTGTCTCGCACGCCGAGGTCTATTCTTCTTCTTCTTCTGCTTTTTCATATTCAGCCCGAGGTTCTCACTCTCGATAATCATCGTTTCTTGCTGCAGTAAGTCAGACTTTCCACCGAACCAAAGTAAGATCGGCGTGTTGTCAACCTCTCTTCCTCAGCCATTTATGGATCTTACACGTGGACTTGTTTTTCGTTCCTAATTTGTGCTCCATCCACCGCTCACGTAGGCCACGCCCAATCTGTTCGACGTAGGTTGGTTTACAGAATGGTGAGACGATGACGTAGACACAGGACTCAGCTGAGCATATCCTACCAAGTTCGTCATTACTTAAATTAAGCCAGTACTTCACGAAAGTGCGCCCCCATCTCAGGTATCTTGACACACAGGCAAGGATTGTTCCAAAACAGAAGGATTACTCGACTTCACTAATCAGCGTTCTATCTTTGCCATGAGACTGTTCCAACCATCGACCCGATCTCCTTAGTAGAATTCGTTTAGAGATCTAGTTCCCTATAACTTCGTCGTTGTCCTCGTCTTCAAATCCCTCTCCCTCTCCGTCGGCCGCGTTCTCATCGTCATCATCCTCGTCGGTTGGATCATCGTCATCTTCTTTAGTGTTGTTGACCAGTTTTGTATACTGGTCTGTATCGTGTTTCACTAGTTCCCATGCTCCCTTGTCCTTCCTTTCGCACCGCGCGTTCCTGCTCTTACACAAGGCTTTGATCTCCTTGTACGTCTTGGTCATGTAGTAATCCAACCTGCACCGCATATATTCCAACACCTCACTTTGCATCTCAGCTGCTCTTCCTTTATCCTTCTTCGCTTCATCGCTCGCAACGGGTTCATCCGCTCCTTTCCCGCTACTCGTATCTTCGACTGTTGTTTCACTTCTGGCACAACCCTTGCTAGTCGCGCTTTGGTTCAGCCCGGTCATTAGTGCCTGCAGCATTCCTTTAATTTCGTCTAGTTGCTTCACATCGGTCTTGTTAATCTCAAGCTTCTCATCCACGTGTGAGTTTTCTCTCGTCTTGTCCCGACGGGAGTCTTCATCGTCCGAGATATTAATGCGAAGTGGCCTCATCTTCATCTTTCCGCTTGCGTTCTTCGATCGTGATTTCGATCTCGATCTAGAGATCACTAGTGATCCAAAGTCCCTTTTTCTCTTCTCATTTCTCCCTCCGTTCGTGGTCGGTTCCTCCTTCACCTTCTTCTTCCCCTTTTTGTCCAGAGCCACTGTCGTCTTCCTGTCCACATCCTCCAGCTTGTTGGCGATCTTCTTCAAGGAAAGGAGCCACCGAATGTGCTGGCAATCCATGCCTTGATCCACTTTTCGTCCAGAGCCACCGAATGTGTTGGCAATCCATGCCTTGATCCGAGTCTCACTGTCACTCACGTCGTCTCTTCCTTTCGCCTTCTTGCCGACTCCTCTAGATGACGCAGCAATGCTCAATTCTCCATGCAAAGATTTTTTTGAGTCTTCAGCAAGGTCTCTCGTTTTCCACTTCTCTATCAGGTCCAAGTGCTCTTTTGTGAACCATGCTCTCTGCCCTGGTCCAGGAAAGGAGTTCGCACTCGGTCGCCGCTGTTCGTAATTCCACAATGGAGGAGGCGGTGGTGCTGGCTGCTACCATCCATATGGAAAGTAGGTCGGAGGCCCGGGTGGGAGCTGCATATTCGGTTGCACGGCCAACATCTACAATAGATCCAGTACGTTTGACAATATCTCCTTCTTTAATGACAATGTCACTACCAAAAACCACAATTCCCTTTCGTCTTCTCGCCAGCTAAGATCATTTCATGCCTCAATCCTCAAGATAAAAAAGACGAACTCATTTTTGTGGCACGAATAAAGGAATCATCCCAAACCCAAAAAGTCCACATCTCTGGCCTCAAACTCCTGCTACCTCCACCTCCACCTCCACCCGCCTCCCCCTCGCCTCATGTACTCCAACCCATCTTCATACCTCTGAGTCACCAGTTGTCAATACTCCAACACTCTTCTTCCTCTTCCTCTGCACCAGACTTGATGACACTTATTGATCAACTCCGAACCCAGCTCATCCAAAAATCTGAATCCGGTCACAATGAGATTCTCCGAAGAGAGGAGGAGAATCAAACCCTTAACGAACTCTATTCCAACATAACCTCCGATATGCACAAAATCTCCCAGAAGATCTTTCCTAAGTCCCCCTCCTCATTCTACGAGCTCAAAGCATGCATAATGTCTTCTTCAGCCTGTGCTATCTTTGGCAAATCTTATCCCTCATTAGATTCAAAGTTGTCAACCTTAACTACTCTTGTTACCCGTATGGAAAGACCTTTGCCCTCGACTTTGTGTCCCGTGTCGCCCCTATAGCCAAGGATTCCATGCAAAAACGCATTCTCAAGGAGCAAAGATTCTACTAAGCAAGGTTGCTAGAGAAGGAATGTAGCAGGCACTACCACTCATTGAAGCGGGATTCAACTACTGCCTCAATCAAGCTCGCCAGATGGAAGTCAGGTAAGCACGGGTTGTGCCCGATGACTTTATCTACTCGCCCTGCACTGACTAAAAAAGTCCATGCCATTTGCGTTAAGGGCATTCTCACTTATCTTCCTTTCACTTTGCAGTGCAAATCGGAAAGATTCTGAAGGCAAATCCACATACCAAAAGAAGGGCGATCACTTCAAATCTGAAGACAAGCGTTCCACCTCTGGCAAGCATCAAGACGAAGACTACAAGGGTTATGACTACAACAGAGCAACAAAAAAGTTTAAATTCAATACCAGCAGCTCAAAGGCAGTCTCTGACAACAAAGATGACTTCAATGAAGTGCTTGCCCCCCCTTCACCATACCTCCAGTCCTTCAGATTCTTCAAAATCTTTCCAAACTTTTATCAATCACTGACCTTCGCAAACCATTTTTTGCGCTTCAAGAACCTTCCTCTTGGCTAAGGTCACCTGACCACTTCTTCGCAGCATCCACCACATCCTCCTCCAACTAGAATTTCCTTCTTTCCTCTTCCTCCAGATATTTCTCTCACTCATTTTTGCAATGGATCAAGTACGGCATCAGACTCAACTTTGTAGGCACTAATCACATTCCCTCCCTTTCAAAAGTTTTTCTCCCCGCCCCCCTCTTTTTATCTTCCCTTTACAACTCTATCTCACCTGCAAATTGAGGCTCGATCATGATCTCCGCTTCTAATGACCTTCTCCTTGACTTAATTTGGTGGTTTCACCACCTCCCTTCTCTCCCAGGATGCCCTTGGACAATCACGGAAACCACTCTACTTATCGCAATAGATGTATCATCCACGCAAATTGCAGCAATAATCAGAACTCTCAATAACGAAATCATCTTCAACGAATGTCTTCCCCACTCTCTTCTTGACTCCTCCACCACACACCGGGAATTGTTTGCAGTTCTGAAAATCTGCATCTTCCTCTTTAAAAATCATAAGAACCTCTTATTATTCACATCATACTTCACATAGACAGTTAGACCGCCTCCTTTCTCCTTGCTAACATGCGTTCCTCTTATCTACTATTCAATCTTTGGCTCCGAGATATCGCATCAATACTCATTATCTACGACACTCTTCTCAACCTTATTTGGATTCCGCGTGAATTTAACCAATACGCGGATCACGTTTCTAAAACAGAGGATAATTCCGATTGGGGCATCTCCTCACATGTCCTCAAGACTATCTTCAATATTTTGGATGTTCTGGCTATTGACCTCTTCGCTTCCGACTATCATAACGTCTCTCTATATTTATATCATGAACTTGGTCAAGTCTTGCACTCTACATAGAAGCTCTCTCTCTAGATCGGAAAATACTATCAAGAGAACCTTATAGCTGGATCTTTTCTCCTGCATCCCTTGTAAACGTCATCATCTTCCGCGCAATACTCTCCCCTGTCTTTTACCTCCTCATAGCTTCTGACTCCCCCAAACCAACTTGGTTCCTAAAACTTCTGCGATTAGAAATACTTTGGTCTTTCAAGATTCCCTTATCTCCACTTCCTGCATACCTAGCTCGAGAGTACATCCCTCCTGTTCCAACCCAACAACTTTTGGCCTAAAAGCATTCCTATTTGAAACCTAACTTTCACATTTCCTCTTTCACCCTCCTTTCATGCCATATCCATATCGCATGAATGTTCCGACACTTTTCCAAGTTCCCTGCGCATCATCTCTCCCAAATTTCACCCCTCTTCGATACCATCCTGAACTCCGTCTATTCGAACATTGTGACATGTCTCTCCTTCATACACCCCTCCCTCCCCAAACCACTTCTCAATCCTTTTATTGAAACCACTCTCTCCCAGCAGACCACCACCACGGCGGCCCCGAAATAAATAACCAACTCTGATATCCTGCCCTATCCGATCATTTGCAACCACTAATTCACTTAGAATTCCCAAAAATGTTTCTTCTCCCTTTGCGGTTCCCTCAATCTGATCAAGAATCTTCCACACTGACGATCCGTCTTTGTTTAACCAGGCCTTACTGTCCTCTCCCCAATATTAATCTCTGCATATTGCAAACGCAATCCCTCACCACATCACTGCCAACTCTCTCATAAATACAAGAATATTGCATCATCTCTATATGCTTCAACTTCCATCATTCTCTTTCAGTGTCAGGATTTTATTTCTAATATAATTTGTAACAATCCTTAATTTATCCCATTACAAAGGATGCGCTTATTTTTCGGTCACCCCTGTCTGTAATGCATACTCTCGATAAGTCTTTCGGAAGGACTTCACAGGTCCACTTTGACAAGGATCATCGCTCTCCTTTCCTAATAAACGAAAAATATTACTCAAGTAATTTATTGTTGCATCAACTGTTGATGGCGATACAATAGGTGTTCCCTCGCAATCAGCTGTTCGGCAGCGACCTTCAACCTCAATTAACCACTGACTGCTTATGAAGGACAGAATATCTAGATCAATGCAGCTCATGCAATCCCGTCCAACTTTATTCCTCTCCAACCACTCGTTCAACCCAAGTGACAATTTCCGCATCTCGTTACGCCATCATTGTCTGCAACCAAACTCATCTATAACATTGCTGCGCCATTCTAATCCGCTTTTGTAGTCTCCTTCGTGCTCCTCTTCTGCCGCCAACTTCCATCGCTCATACGTTCGTTCCACCAGTCCCTACAAGACGACAATGTAATTTGCGGGACGATGGAGGAGATGGGGTAACCCAGGAGGTGTGGGGGCTTGCGTCCCCCAACTCCATGACTCTCCTATTCAATCTGGCATTATCTTGGGTATGCAATTTCTCCCTTTTATTTGGACAAGACCTGTGCAGCAATTGTCCTGCAACTAGACGCAGTTGCCTTTCCAACTTCTCAGTCACCATCTGCGCACACTAACAGTTTTAGGTCATTCTCGATCCCCTCAGTCGCACGGTTTTTTTGCAGCCGTGGATCTCGGACATCTACGACATTTCTACGACATGCATTGGACACCCTCGATAGAATATGATCTTGACGGTTGAACTTCGAAATACCCAACCTATTTTGGCAAACTACGAGTAAGACCATAGACTCGGCAGTCGGACTTCAGAGGTTGCAGGCAGTTTGGTTCAGATTCGAGTGGGACCAAGGGACCTCGGAACTCACCCGGGGTGCATTTGGACGTCGTCGGCCCGGACAACACTGCTCTCACTGCCCGCAACTGTATAAGTGACAGGCAGCGCAGCAGTAGACGCAGGTTGCTGGACTTGTTCGATCTGCTGGATTTCCCGCGATCCTCCTTCCGCTGTGCGCTCTCCAGCAGCGCTCAGTGCATAAGCGAATCTGCAGGCAAACAGGTCACTTCATCAGCCGGTCTGAGGAGAGTCATTTCTCCTTCGCCAATTTTGGCGAAGCGGTCCCACCCGCCCTCAATTTTCCCGCGGTGTGTGGGCCTGCGGGCCCCAACTCCCGGACTCTCCTATTCAATCTGGCATCATCTATGGTATGCAATTTCTCCCTTTTATTTGGACAAGACCTGTGCATGAATCCATGATTCATGTACTGTTTTGCCTTTTTTTTTTTTTTTTGGTTCCACCACCACTACCTTTTTATTTTTTTTTTTCAACTTCTTTGTTTGACGACCACTACCTTTCAGAGAGGCAGGCAAGTCGTAATAAACATAAACTTATTCCGCGTTCCTCAGAGGCTGGGGGAGGCCAGGCACCAGTGGACCAAAATGGCTGGCAGCGCCATATCGAAGAAACAAGACAAAAACAGTTGCGCTGGCGCTTCGTCAAAGCTTGACATGCAGTTCTTGTACTCCGTTTTGGTAAAAAGAGGATTGGAGGTAGTGGTGGTTTAATTGGAGGTAGTGGTGGTTTAGCCTTGCTGGAATAGCATATGGACTATTTGGGGAGAAAAAATAGAAATTTGCAGGTTGCTTTCATCGAG